TTGGCAAATAGGCCAGTGTGGCACCCAGATTCCGAAGGTAAATCTCTGCAAAATGTTGATGGGCTTGTCGAGATTCCGTATATTTCTGAAGAGAACACTGATGAGAATCCTAAGATTAGAATTTATGTGAAGGATGAAGGGTTGATTGGGAAGAAAATGAGAGAGACTATATTGGCCAAGGGGAAAACCGATTGGGTTGGAAAAGGTGAGGTTGTATGTACAGAGTATGACGAAAGGTGATTTGGAGGTTAATAGGGTGGAACCGAAGAGTAATCAATCGGCTCCACCTGCGGCAGCCATGAAGACTGGCCCTGCGGCGTCAAAGCCAACAGGGGTGGTGGAGAAGAAGATTAGAGGATTCAAAAGCCATTATAAAGAAAGGATCTGAGTTATTAAACCGAGAGGGTTCTGATACCATAAGAATGTTTGATTAATCCACCCCACCTATTTGAGTTTCGCTTGTTTTCTAACGTCTCGACTCCAATCGAGAAGGGAGAATGGAGTCTTACCATCTAGCCATTGGAAAGTTCGGGATCGTCAGAGAGCCGTACATCTCAAGAATCTTTGAGCAAGGAGGGATTCTAGTAGGAAGGGCAACCACTACATGTTTTGGCATAACTTACATCATAGTAATCATACGATAGCACACGTCAAATAATCATAAAACATGACATGTGCAGGGGTCATAGAGCACACGTCATTCATAAGAGTCGACTTAGGAACCAGCTTTATTCCTCCATCTTCAACCTTTGGATTCATTCATACATTTTAAAAAGTTAGAATAAAATAGGGATGTAAATATATATGTATACCCTATGTCATTTATGCATGCATGCATCATTATTAATCCATCTAATATAAGAAATTGGTTAATTACATTGAAGGAGTAAAATGCAATTGACTTTAAAATAATCGATCATTTAAAATATTAAAGTGAGTAAATTTCAAATGTGATATTTTACTTTTGTCCGAATACAAAAGCAACCTTGAAAAGATCAACATAATATAATATACTTGATTAATTAAATAATAATAATAATTTAAACTTATTATCGAATTATAAATTAATAAACAATCGTTGAATTATAATTTTATGGAAAATAAATAAAATAAAATACAAAACTTAAACTAAAAAAAAAGAAAAAAAAAAAAACATTTTCAATGTGTGGGTGTTGAACAAATCAAAAGGTCAACTATGTACAACATGTTCCGTTTGAATAAAGTCAAAAGGCACCTTCTTTTAAAATACAAGCTCTAAACTAAATTTCGTTTTAAATATTCCTTTTTTTTTTTTTTTTTTTCAAAACCCACAAACTTACTTTTACTCATTTTAAAATATTAAATTGATTTTCCCATTAAAAAAAAATCAATGCAATTACTTGTATAAACATGTATAATTAACCTTAGTGTTGGATTAATTTAGCTATTAATAAAAAAATTAATCCAAAAAGTTGAATTGGTCAGACACGCAAGATAAGCATGACCATTTGTAACGATCCAAAATTTTCTACTTAATTTAATTTAAGGTCGCTACTGTATACTTACATAAACATTGAATGTGGAAGACTTCATTTAAATTCCATAAAACATAACCTTTAACTTAAAACACAGCCATGGACTTACGTGTTTCGAAAACATCTTTAAAACGACACAACAAAAGATTAAATAAAATAAATGAGCTTTTAAGTTAAAAACATCATATTCTAGCTTAAGTCTAAAAAAATAAATACCACTATCTTATGCATGTGTCATGGTATCGAGTTGCGATATTGTCTTCAGCCGTACAGGAATGTCTGACCATAACCTGAAAAATGTAGTAGCACATGACTTTAGTATTTAAAGAAATATTCAGTAAGTGACCCCACTATTAGGGTTAAGTGCAAGAACATGCGAATGCAATGATGGTACCTATCCTTTCAATCTATTTTCCTACGGTATTTTGGACATGTACCATATACTCTAGACACAGCCCATACGTGCGAGTATGGGCTTACAAATCAGTTCGCACACCGTTGGGTCACTTTCCTTGTCAGGCGAGCATACTCTAGGAGCTCCTTAGGCCGGACACCCGTTAGAACTAATAATCATCACATCAGCGCTATGCAAACATAACGAACGTGGCCATTGGATGTACGCGTCCGTACCCTCGTGATGGAATAGGGGTATCCCCCTAAATGCATGAGCACACATAATGCATAAGGTTCCAAATATTTATACTTTTATCATTAATGAATATAACCCCGCTATCATCTTTCATGCTTAACATGTAATTTCTCATTTTTCAGTCTACGTATCATAATCCTAACGAGGTTACATGTCATTTCATTTATCCATATATCATGTCATTCATAACATGTTGTATACATACAATTTAGAAAGCATAACATAATGCTCCATGCTTTTAACATGTCATTTCATAACGTGCAATTCATACAACAATTACATCAATAGTCACACAAAACAATCTAAACATAACATATCACATCACAATATATCGTATCATAAACATATCATGTCGTAAACACTTCGTAGTCATATCGTTCATGTTAAGGATATTTAGTAATAAATTATAGTTTACCATATATATTATATTTGATATTTTATTATAAGGCAAATATCTAATATTTTCCTATTATCATAGGTATCTTTCCATTTATTGTTATTTCCATTTATTACTATTTCCATATCCTTGTAATTTATTTGATTATAAATAAGATAACTTTCACACCATTTAGGTGTGGTGGATTAATCAAACATTCACATAGTATCAGAGCCATCTTAGTTTAACAACCCCGATCCTTTCTTTTCAATGGCTTTTGAATCCTCTAATTTTCTTCTCTACCACCCCTGCTGGCTTTGACGACGCAAGGGCAGTCTTCATGGCTGCTGCAGGCGGAGCCGATTGATTACTCTTCGGCTCCACCCGATTGACCTCAAAATCACCTTTCGTCATACTCTGTACATACAACCTCACCTTTTCCAACCCAATCGGTTTTCCCCTTGGCCAATATAGTCTCTCTCATTTTCTTCCCAATCAACCTTCATCCTTCACATAAACCTTAACCTAAACCTATCAACCTTTTGCAGAGATTTACCTTCGGAATCTGGGTGCCGCACTGGCCTATTCGCCAACCAAGTTGCCGCCGCCCTTCCTGCCAAAATTGGCTTCTTCGCCTGATGAGGCGACTCTTCCGACGGCCCTTCTCGCCAAAATTGGCTCCTTCGCCCAATGTGGCGACTGTTCTGGCTTCAACATTGTCTTTGTCCCTTGCTCTAGGTTTCCCCTCCTACTTCTTGGGGTTAGAAATATTCTCACCAGAGCCAAAGTAGCATCATCGCTAAGCGACAATCCCTCTTCATGGGTTAGACATATTCTCGCCGAAGCCAAGGCAGCATCGCCGTTGAGCGGCGATCCCTCTGCAATTTTTGATGGCCAAGAACCGGGTTGTTAGCATCTTCATGAAAAGTGTTTCTCAACCTCTTTGAATTTTTCAGATTCAAGCTTCACATTCGTTTAAATCCGACGCTTAGCTTGCGGTGGGGTGTTAAGGATATTTAGTAATAAATTATAGTTTACCATATATATTATATTTGATATTTTATTATAAGGCAAATATCTAATATTTGCCTTATGATAGATATTTGCCTTATAATCATAGGTATCTTTCTATTTATTGTTATTTCCATATCCTTTAATTTATTTGATTATAAATAAGATAACTTTCACACCATTTAGGTGTGGTGGATTAATCAAACATTCACAGTTCCCTAACTTATCATAGCTTAAACGTTCTTATACCCATCACAATCATATCGTTACGTGAACGTACCTTAGTCATATCATCACAGGAACGTATCCTAACGCTATTGTTCTATCAATCTATCACAAACCTATCACTTTCTACCCATATCCTAACCATATTCTTTCATCAATCTCCCCTATCCATAGCACTCTAGTATATAACCTAATCTTAATGTTTCATGAACATATCTTACTCCTATCGTTATATTTCGTTTTGTACATCCTTCTCGTATCCTATCTCAAACATAACATAAACATAATATAAGCATATCTATTCACAGATAATTCACACACATCAGTATATTGACACGTGCAGAACCACAGGCACGTGTCAACATCAAATATAACCATGTCGATAGTAAGCCCATTTACCTGGTTAGCTTAAGTTGTTGTCACGAATATATCCTTAATGAAAGTTCGATTCTGTCCTTTGAAATCCAAATCAACTATGTGAGCCAATGACATCAGTTTCGAGTTTGAACTCTATACATTTATTTCTCTAATTTACATTGGTCTATTGTTAAAAGTCTTCAAAGGTTATATATCTATAATTATATTTTTATTAAAATTATTAGTTATTTGGTATGCGTTTACTTTTCTCTCCCTATTTAGCTTGTGATGTTTAATTCCTCAATTTTTCTATTTATTTATTTATTATTATTATTTAACTCCTTTTTTATAATTATTTTTATTGGTTTATTTCTTTATTTATTTTTTTGGTCTATTACGGTGTTTTTGTGTCATATTCTCTCTAATGCTTAAGTTAGTATTTAGCTAAGAGTCACGTTGAATTAAACATGGTATTATGTACTTTTAATGTAAGATGAGTGCCTTTATTTATAGGTTTACCTTCCAACATTGGTGTCGGGATTGTATGTTTACCTGTTTAGGATCTTAATGAAAAATACTTTCTACCTCAGTTAATAAGTGACACTCCTCGATTTTATTCAAAATAACGTAATAATTTAAATTCATCGCTAGCAAATATTATTCTGTTTCAAGCTTTCTTCAAAGGATGTGTAGTCAGAGTTTGAACGTTTTATAATATATTCTCGAAAGATTATTAAGGAGCAGGACATTGAATGTAGCCAATACATATACATAAAATATTTTGTTGGTTGGCATTTTAAAACAACATTATTTAATAGCTTTTCAAAAAATAAAAAAGGACTATTTTATTTTATTTTTTATTTTTTATTTTTTTGTATACGTTGAGCTACGAGGTTTTCGTCCCCCCGCCTACCGCCCACAGAATTTCGGGCGTTCCACAATTTCGCCTCTTCTTCCTTTCTCCTATAAATTTCCCGATGTGAAAATTGCCATTTCCCCATAACCGTAAACTCTGCTGCATTTTCTCTCCCTTTTCCTTTGCCGATCTCTGTTCCTGTTATCCATGGCGGAATCCAAGGGCAAACTCGAATCTCTCAGGGAGTGGGTTTCTGAGCACAAGCTTCGTACCGTCGGTAAATCTACGTTTTCAATCCTCAGTCCATTGTATTTTCCTGATTTCCGATTGCTTGTTATGTTTCGATTTTGTGTTCTGATTGCATGTTGTTGTTGTTTGGGGTGAAGGATCTCTGTGGCTTAGCGGGATTGCGGGTTCTATTGCCTACAATTGGTCTCAACCTAATATGAAGACCAGCGTGAAGATCATCCATGCTAGGTTCGTTTCTGGCTTTTTGTGTTTATTTTTTTTCTTAATCCTGGATTTTGGCTTTTGCTCTAGTGCTGCCTATTTATGAAGTTTTTATTCTGGAATAAATCGGCGGATTAACGTTATTGGATGAAAGTCTGTAAAAACCATCCCTCTTTTGGGGATCTTGCTGGAGTTTTGAAATCTTTAGGATGTTCTAGAGTTAATCCTGATAAAACAGAGATTATTTTCCCCTAAATTTGTTTGAAGCGATGTTTTGGATGGCTTGGAAAGCTTAATTTTGTTGTGTTCTTGATTATTAAGTTCATGAATTTGTTAGTAGAACAACTTTAATCTCTCTTATATAAAAGCAAAAGAACAAACGTCGCTGCATGATCATGTTTTTCCTTAGATTTTCGTTCTAAGACTCTGAAAACTATCCTATGATTAAGTGCTTCGTTTTCCTGATGAACGCCAAAAATTCTTAGCTTCTGTGCTCTTGTGACCTTCGTGTTAGGAATCACGACTCTCCACAATGACATGATATGCTCCACTTTGAGCACAAGCTTTGCTTTGGGCTTTCCAAAAGGCCTCATACCAATGAAGATCTATTCCTTACTTATAAATGCAGGATCATTCCCTAATAGCCTCTAATTGGAATGGCCTACACACGATTTCTTGGTAAATTGTCACTATTCTACGTATACCATCAGCATAGATTAGAGGGCATTTTTTTAAGGATTCATTGTCCCTTAGGCCCGTTCTCTGGCCATCCTTGAACATTTATTTTCATCATATTTGGGTATATGATCATATATTACTAATCATCTTTGGTCTATTCAGTTTTTTAAATGTCATGTCTAATTATCCATCCATCTATATACTTTCTTTCTTTCTTTGTGTTCAATAATTCTGACATCTTGCTCAAGGATTATACTACGCTTAAGTTGATGTTTCATTATCTCTATATCATCTCTGATCAAAATTTGTACGGAATTTAGTGGAAGATTGACAATTACTATCGAGATTCCGAACATAGATGATCAAAATTTGAATGCCGATAAAAGTTCATCAAAGTGAGAAACTTGACTGAAGTTTGAGGACCAAAATTGCATCTAAACCAAATGTTTTATGTTTTATCTTGGATACTTTTTCTCTGTCGCGTTCAAAAAGGCTATTATATAGGCTGCATGTTCTTGTGTATGAGGTCTGATGTTGATGGTGTTGGGTTGTTGAAAATGGCTATCAGGTTGCACGCACAGGCTTTGACCCTGGCTGCTCTGGCAGGCGCTGCTGTGGTCGAATATTATGAACACAAATCAGGAGCAAAGGCGGAGCGATATGCCAAATTCCTTCCAATTGATAACTACTCAAGGAAGGACTAAGTTTTGTTTTGTGTGTTTGTGTACGTACACAGGAGGGAAGGGGTAATAAAATAGTTTCATTCTCATTCTGAGGCTTAGAAATCAATGTTACTTGTCCATTCTTTTGTAGTATGCAAATATGATGAATATAAGCAATTTGTTTGTGAACCTTCTTGGAGGTGAATGAATGAATGAATGGTGTTGTATTATGAACCAAATGTTGTATTAGAACTATTTATGTTAGCTCATTCATTAATATATCACAATTTTAAAACATGATTAATTTATTCAAATCAAATCCACTATAATTAATTAAATGTTTTGTTGTAATAATTATGTATATATGATTTTTGAAAATTCGTTTTTATTATTTAATTAATGATTTATCATGATTATATAAAATTTATAAATATACACCATTTAAAATAATTTTGGTATTTGATTTTTGAGATATAACCCATGATTCTTCAATTTTATTATTTTATTGATTATTATAATTAAAAGTACATAATTTTATAATTACTAAATAAGCTCAATATACAGAATAAAAATTTATTTCAAAGATTTGATGCAATAAAAATGAAGTAGTGTAAAAAATTGTTGAATTTACATCGAACTATATATGATTCTCATCTTATTTTTAAACATCTATTTATCATATATCTTAAATAAAACTTATCTTAAGAGTTAAATTCTTTGACGAAGTCTATAAGTTCATTGAATTCGTCTTTTGAAAACGATCCCTCCTTTTTAAAAAACAACCTTCTATAAATTACAATATTTTTTATTGCATTTATAATGGAAAGTCAACAAAGCTTGGTGTGCTAAGTTGAACAAAGCCAACGTGGTAATCCAGATGCATGCTATATGTTTAATGTGGATCTTGGAAATGTCCTCTACTTGTTTAAACAATTTTTAGATCGATTTATTATATTATATAATTTAAACAATTTCGCTTCACTCACCAAACGTCCATCCGCTAAGGTTCTCATTTACAATAAATTGAACAACAAGAGCGTTGAATAAATAAAAGTTTTTCACTCACGTTGACTGCTTTTGTTGTGAGCGTATACCCTAATTTCGAACATTCTTCTCCTTGCATTATCGAACTAAATTTGGAACCCCTAGTATTTTCTCTTTCCACTTTCAGTCATCAGTTTACAACGACCTACTACGAACACTGTGTCCAATTTCTCCACTAATCGAACCATTGTTCTTGAAAATACAAGTTCTATTGTTGTGCAAAATGGGCTCCGAAAGTTATTTGAGAAAATATTAACATCATATCTTCCTTGATACAATGTGCGTATGGATTGAGTTGGAAATTTTTTTTAAACAAATCTGAAAATTGAGTTGGTTACCCGAGCAACTTGAATATAATCCACACCTAATCCAACCTTTTATTTTTTTATTAGATTGAATTTTCGAATGATTTTTTTTGTTAATACTTATCTATAATACATGTCATATTAATAACTAAAATTTTAATATTAAACATTTATAAATCTAGCATTAGTTAATAACTTAAAATATAATATTTTTATAAGTAGAGTTTAAATGGTAACTCTAATTTCGAGTGGATTGTAACCTATTTTAGAGTTGATTGGATTAACCCGACCTTAAACTTTTTAATTTTTTAAAAATTCATAGTTTGAACAGAATAATTTGAGTTTATCGAATTATCAGACGAGTCGACTCGAGCTACCTAGCCAAGTGGGGTGTAGTGTGTGGGTTAAGAGAACAAACCCATTGGAAGTCCATGTCCATCGGCGGCCCAATCTGGTTACTATATATTATAAACCTAGCTCGTCTAGGGCTTCACTTGGCGGCCGTCGGTATCTGAGTTCTCAAATTCTCTGCAGCACCCGGTAATTCTCTCTTCTTCTCTCTTCTTCTCTCTTATGTTGCTACCAATGATCTTAATCTAGTCGTTTTAGGCATCAATACATTGGATTTTCTTCGGATTGCAGAGATTTTTAACTAAATCGAAAATGAGTCGAGGAGGTGCAGCCGGTCCCAAGGGGAAGAAGAAGGGAGTAACTTTCACAATCGATTGTTCGAAGCCGGTGGAGGATAAGATTATGGACATTGCTTCTCTGGAAAAGTTTCTTTTGGAGAGGATTAAAGTCGGAGGCAAGGCTGGAGCTCTTGGCGATGCCGTCTCTGTTACTCGTGAGAAGAGTAAAATTACCGTCACTTCTGACAGTAATTTCTCCAAAAGGTATACGTTTTTTTCCCTTTCATTTGAATCATTAGTTTGTTATGAATCAATGTTGAGGCCAATTTTATTTCAGAAGTTGTATTTTGGATGTAGTTTTGTACATCAAGTTTGTATTGAGGAGTGGCTAGGTTGAATATTTCTTACTTGATAGTGTTTTGAATGTTACAATTATGTGCTATTGTTCTAAAGCTATATTTTAGATTTTTTTATAGTGAGGGGGAACTTGGGCTTGTTATGTTTGATATTTGTCTGTATGATGAACATGATTGAAAATACTGAACTCGGATGGAGAATTCTGAGATTTGACACGAGGGAAGAATAATTGATTCTAAAATTAGTGTTGTTTTGTTTGAATTTTGTTCTGTCTAAAGTTATTGATTGAATGCGTATTGAAAATCCATTTGTAGAATTCTGAGTCAACATTTCCAATACCATTACAACATTTTGAGGGCTCTGATTATATAATTTCTTAACGGGTTTCAATTCTTCTATTTTTGGGAATATAGAATAGGCTGTTCATATTGGAAAATTGATTGGCAGTTTCCTTGCACCCTCGTATCAGAAACACATAGTGAGTAATGTAACTAGTTAGAGTGTAACCTAAACATAGTGAACTTGTTATGTTTTCTTGATGTGCTGGTTGCATTGGTTTGTTTGTGAATATGTAGAAATAGAACACTGTGCTGTTTGATGTGCTAATTATTTGTTCTTTTGAATCTATTATTCCTGTAAATTTGTTCATTTTTTTGTCGAAGTATTCATGTGGGCACATAGTTCTAGTGATTTGTGATTGGTTTTGTTATTTAGCTTATTCCCTCCCTTGTTCCTTTCCCCAATGAAGCAATGTGGTCTTCCAATAAGTTCATTTTAGCATATTATTGAGATGGTTCTTGGAGTTGATTGATGTCGATCGACTTATGTATTTGTGTCTAAGTTTCTGCATTTAATTGTGTCTTCATTCCTACACTTGAAGATATAGGAATAGGAACTGAGAGGGATAGAATAGATCACAAATCGCTCGGCCTATTTACTCATTGGTGATGTGTTACCAAGCAATATCTTAGGCAGTTGTAGAAACTCAATATCTAAATTGCATTAGTCTCTCCGTTTGTTCTTCTGACACATAGCATTAGCCATTTGGCCCCGAGAACTCTGGCGTGTATAAAACAAAAATGCTTGTATGGGTAAGGAACATGATATATGACTGATTTTATCTTATATCTGTCTGTTGTAGATATTTGAAGTACTTGACCAAGAAGTACCTGAAGAAACACAATGTGCGGGATTGGCTACGAGTGATCGCTGCCAACAAAGATAGGAACGTTTACGAACTCAGGTACTTCAACATTGCTGAGAATGAGGGAGAGGAAGAGGATTAAATTTATGGATTTGACATTGCATTTAAGGAACAAATTATGTCGCAGCAATCTCTCTGTTTTTGTTACTACTGGTGTTTGTGTGATCCTTTATTTTTTTCATTCGAACTGATGCAGTTTAGCAATTTTGTTTTCTTCGACAGTCTTAGATTACTGTTGTTTTTGTGTCATATTTGAGCAACACCAACAATTTTTCACTTACAACCAGCAATGTTTCACTTGTCTTATACGTATATTTTTCTCATGAAACATGATTCTTAAGGTTTTTGCCTCAAATTTTCTTGTAATTTTAGGAGTTCAATTTTTGGTACTGAAGAAATCAATATAAACCGATTCAAAAGAACCAAGAGGGTAATCGATCAATTTAGTTGAATGATTATCGTTTTCAAATTAAAATTTCGGTTTTTTATGCATTTAAACCTAAACTTTATTCTTTGGACAATATATTTTGTTCAATAGACTTGGCTTAACATACTCAAACTTCCCTAAATTGTTGAAATTTCCTAAAACTGATTCATTCATTCCATTATTACATATTCCACTACCCCATTTGCATAAGTTGGGTTCAAAGATATAAACATGAATATATGTGAAAAATAATTAATTCAAACCTGTAACAAAATTACATGCTTAGTAGATATGAATAATTCTATACTAGTAAAACCTGATTTTTTTTTTTTAATGACATTTTGCATATGAATGTAAGGTAGTATATTAGTATTCATTATAATATTGGTCATATAGTTAATTACATAATAAATTACCATGTACTGAAATAAAATCATGAATGCATGAGAAACTTAAATAGAAGGGTAAATTGGTAAGAAAATATGGGGAAAAAAAAGAAAAAAAAAGGAGAGAAGAGAGAAAAGTCTCACCATAATGAACATTTGTGAAGTAGGTGTGAAAGTAAGCTATCCAACCTAATGCAACCCTCCATTTATGTTCGGAATGTTGTTTGTGCCCTAGGAGGTGATTAGTTTAAGTAGGAGAGAGTACGAGAGTATCATTGATTAGTTTAAGTAGGAGAGAGTATGAGAGTATCATAGCCTCACCATGAAGATAGTAGGCTGAGACCCCCACACACAGACAAGGGTGTCAACCCTCATGTAGCATCCATCTGACCATGTGATGATCGAGATAGACAAGTGCGATGATGAGACTGAGGAGGAGGCTGCATCATCAACACACTAAGAAGAATCTACATTAATGCCAAGCTAAGACATAAGCAAGGTTGGAGAGAACGAGACGACACGAATGTTGAAGACAAACTCGGAGAGGGTTGAGTAAGGCCCCAAGCCATAACCTAAAAAGTTAGAATTGACATGAGTTTCGACATGCGGCTTTGGAGTTCAGTTTGTTTAGATGAAAGATGAAAATTCACCAAATTTGGTGTCGATTGGATATTCGACTGTCGCTCCACAGGGCCATATAATTGCTCACCAAAGTGACATCTACTCTAGACGAATTGGAAATGCCTAAAAAATGTACTATAGGGGGATGCATGATGTTAGCTCTCCACCACCTCTAAGCCTTATGGCCTAAGCGAGCTACCCTGTTGCACATACGTGTGTCACAGCATGGGCGAACATCTCGAGCGTTTTCCTTAGAAATGAATATT